GGCTCGCTTGACGGCTGGAAAGAAGTTGATCTCGTGTTGGAGTATGATGGACATAGTCGGAGCTTGGCGGTGTCAATCCGCGTACGAAGACGTGCGCCGTGGTTGTCGAAGGATGTCGACGCGATCCGCTGAGTTGCCGCGAAGGATGTTGATCTTGAGTTCCGCCATCTGGTTCACCAGGGATCAACGCATACGATCCCCACGGTGGGCGCCAACTGTCGACAAAAGATGCTCGGCTGTCCTCCGAGGGGTATCCCACGAAGGTAGATTGATCGGTGGGGGTGCGCGTATTCAGGAACCGGATGGTGACACAAGGCGCAGAGACAGCGATTTAGACAGGTTCGGGCCGTCTGATCGACGTAATACCCTACGTCATGTGTCTTTGTTGTATTGTATTGTATATGGGATGTATGTCGATGTCGAATATGGGACCTCTGCCTCTCCTTATAAACTCTGGAGGGGTAGGGTTACAAGGAAAAAATCATATTTGGTATTATCTAATTGTAGCCTTGCGGTGCACGCCGAGCAGTGCCGTGCGCCGCATGCCTTGATCTTGTGGGCTAGGCCATCTCTAATGGTGCGGTCCATGTGGTCTGTCGTGGGTATCCGGAGTCGTACCCCCACATGTTAGCTTAAGCATTGTGTTCCCCTTTATAGTACAGCTTTTTCTATACTCAAATTTAAAATATAAAAGAATTTAAACCTCCTTTAAGTTTGAAGCCATCAACATTTATAATTGGGGGCTCATCCGTTTCATGTAGCATCCTCGAATATAAATTCCCTGCTTATCATCTCGATAAATGTCATTAGTTCTCTAATTGCATGGTCATGATAATCAAAACCATGTGGTTCCACGGTACGGCTTCAGGGCATTGCACCAGGGGGGATGCAACCGGCTGATGAATTGTTGGTGCAGCTTTTCAGTGTGTCAGCACAATCAGCTCAAACTGATATCACACTACCTCCTACCATTGTTCAACTGCTATCTGAATTTCCATCTGTCGTGACTCCACCAAGTGAGTTATCTCCAAAACGTGAGTGTGATCATGAAATTCCATTGGTGGATGGAGCTCGACCAGTTATGGTACGACCGTACCGATATCCCCCAGCTCTTAAGGATGAGATCGAAGCTCAAGTGGATTCTATGTTACAACAGGGTATTATTCAACCCAGCACTTCTCCTTTCAACTCACCAGTCTTGCTTGTGTGCAAAAAAGACGGCACGTAGCGCTTCTATGTCGATTACCGTTATCTGAATGCTTTGACGGTCAAAACAGCATACCCAATACCAGTCTTTGAACAGTTGATGGATGAACTTGATGGTGCTCGGTATTTCTCCACTTTGGATTTGTTGTCAGGCTATCACCAGATTCGTCTGCGTGAAGGTGAAGAACACAAGATTGCCTTCTCAACTCACGTTGGACACTATGAATTTTGTGTTGTTGCCTTTGGCTGGTCAGGCGCACCAGGCACATTCCAGGGCACGATGAACACAACCTTGAAGCCCCTTCTTCATCGCTGTGCTATCGTTTTCTTCAATGACATATTGATCTACAACAAGACCTTCGAAGAACACAATGATCACTTACATCAGGTTTTCTCTCTTCTAGCCAAAGATCAGTGGCACATTAAACTGTCCAAGTACAAATTTGTTCAGACGGAGATTGCATACCAGGGTCATATTATCAGTGAATGGGGTGTGTCCATGGACACGGCCAAAATCGAAGCAGTTGTCACATGGCCGACACCAACAAATGTCAAAGAGCTTCGTAGCTTCTTGGGCTTCGCAGGTTTTTATCGACGGTTTGTTCGCCACTATGCTATCATCTCCAAGCCGTTGACGTCCTTGTTGAAGAAGCAGACGTTGTTCCTTTGGATGTCGGAGCATGACACAGCTTTCACTACTCTGAAGAATTGCCTCTGTACTGCTCCAATTCTGAAACTTCCAGATTTCACTCGGCAGTTTTGTATTGAAACAGATGCCTCAAACTGTGGGGTTGGTGCTGTGCTCCTACAGCATGGACACCCGTTAGCATTCCTTAGTCAAGCTCTCGGCCCCAGAAACCAAGGTTTATCAGCGTATGAAAAGGAGTATATGGCTATACTCATTGTAGTCAACCAATGGTGTTCATATCTGCAGCTTGGCGAATTCATCACTTTCACATATCAAAAGAGCCTCATCCACTTAGGTGATCAGCGATTACACACTGCCTGGCAACAAAAGGTTTTCACAAAACTCCTGGGGCTCCAATACCATATAGTGTACAAGCCCAGCACTGATAATAGGGTTGCTGATGCTCTATATCGGCGAAGCCAAGTTGTTGAACTGTCGGCTATCTCGGCTCCTGTACCCAATTGGATGACTGACATAGTGGACAGTTATATCTCTGATACTAAGGCTCGGGAACTGTTGAAGAAATTGGCAATTGCATCTAATGCCGACTCTCCATTTACTCTACAACAAGGGCTCCTCCGGTACAAAGGTCGCATTTGGGTGGGCAACAACCAAACTCTCCAGCAAAAAATAATTGCAGCCTTCCACTCATCCCCGATTGGTGGTCATTCTGGAATTCCAGCTACTTACCAGCGCCTCAAACATCTGTTTGCTTGGACAAGACTTAAAACTGCAGTCCATCAGTTTGTGACAGCATGCCCAACCTGCCAGCAGGCTAAACCAGATCGTGCAAAGTACCCTGGGTTATTGCAGCCTCTGCCTGTTCCTTCAATGGCCTGGCAGAGCATCTCAATGGATTTCGTCGAAGGCCTTCCATCCTCCGGAGGCAAAAATTGTATCCTGGTGATTGTGGATCGTTTCTCCAAGTATGGGCATTTCGTTCCCTTATCTCATCCTTTCACAGCGCTGACAATTGCCAAGACTTTTATCTCTAGTGTCTACCGGCTTCACGGTCTGCCCACTTCAATAGTGTCTGACCGGGACCGTGTATTTACAAGCCAGCTGTGGCAAGAACTCTTTCGTCTGGCCGATGTTACCCTCAAGATGATGTCTGCTTACCATCCCCAAACAGACGGCTAGACCGAACGTGTCAACCAATGCTTGGAAACGTTCTTGCGTTGCTTCGTCAGCGCTTGTCCGTCGAAATGGATAGACCAGATCTACTTGGCTGAGTACTGGTATAACACTTCCTGGCACTCCTCACTCGTTTACTCACCATTCTATGTCCTGAATGGTCATCACCCCAGGCATTTTGGTATGGCTGATATTGATGATGTTTCCCCTACTCAATTGGATGTTTGGCTACAAGAGAAGTCCATGATGACTGCATTGATCCAGCAGCATTTGATGCGAGCCCAGAAGAATTGAAAACACAGGCCGACAAATCTCGTTCTGAACGGCAGTTTTCAGTGGGGGACTAGGTGTACCTGAAGCTGGCACCACGAGCTAGCCAGAAACTTGCCTTCAAGTTCTTTGGTCTCTTTCAGGTGATGGAACGAATCGGTAGCGTCGCTTACAAGCTCCAGCTCCTGGAGTCTACTTCCATTTACCCCGTCTTCCACGTTTCACAACTCAAGACAGCAGTCCCTGCTTCGCACCAAGTGTCGACGCTTCCCCAAGCTCTTGAAGGACTCCAAATTCCACTAAAGATCCTGCAGCGCCGCGTCAGCACCTCCGACCATGCCGTCGTTCCACAGGTCCTGGTGCAGTGGTCCAGTCTACCTCAGTCCTTGGCTACGTGGGAAGATTTGGAAGCACTCAAGCAAAGGTTCACGCGCGCTCCTGCTTGGGGACAAGCAGGTCTTCGACGGGGAGGGGATGTCAGCAACCAAGACGCATCGACAACGGAAGCTGAACCAGAACGTGAACTGGGCGCGCCCAGCGCGGAACGCGACGTGGTCACCACGGAGCTGGAAGCACCCGAACCCAGGCGTGAGGCGTGAATCAAGCAGGTATTCAACGGGGAGGGGATGTCAGCAACCAAGACACATCGACAACGAAAGCTGAACCAGAACGTGAACTGGGCGCGCCCAGCGCGGAACGCAACGTGGTCACCACAGAGCCGGAAGCACCCGAACCCAGGCGTGAGGCGCGAATCAGGTGACCCAGCGTGTGCGTCAGTGGACCCAAGTGGGCGTGAACCATGGCTAGACACAGCTGCGCCTGTGGGTTCACGCCGAAGCCAACGCCTTGTATAAAGAGAGATGGAGAGCACGAGGGAGGCAACAAGAATCATTACAACTGAACTAATTCAATCCTTCCTCCTGCCTATTTGCGTGTTCTACCTTCTCCCTCCATCCTATTCCCCAATTCTGCCTCCTCCCGATCTCATCTGCTAACATACGTCCAAATGGTAGGGGGTCTAGGAGAGGATCAAGACATGTGGAACCTTTGTCTCCGAAACTCCTTCAATTTTTAATAGCACTTTGATACACCTTCTCACACGTCTTGCGTTCGCGACACTCCATCACAAAGATTGAGCTTTGCTTTGTTTATAACCTCCCCGTCACGTTCTAGTAGGTGTTCATTACAATCCTTTAGTTTTAATAATCACTTCCCGTCACGTTCTAGTAGGTGCTCATAAACACTCCTTTAATTAATTTTTAATAGTATATAGGTGTTCCAAAGATGCTTTGATGGAGCCACATGGCGATTGAACCGGCCGGCCGGGCCCACAAGTCTACCCAAGTAGACCATTTCCGGTGACCTGTGCCCACGTCGCTCACACCAGACATCATCACCGCACCATCCACGTTTTGTTGGACCGTCCCCTGAGTTTTTCCAAGACCTCCTGTTTTGCGTACGAACCATGGTCCTCCCTCGTCCGACGTCCGGCCGATCCCTTTGGGACAAACCGGTGCATATATAACTAACCCCACTCCACGGACCACGGCCACGGAGGCACGGAGCATCTGCACTTGTGTGCATCGGCAAGTGATCATATCATACTGCGCCTCGCAAGCAGCTAATTAACCTGCGGCACCTTAGTTAGTGTCGTACCCAAGCCTTTTGCTCCGACCGATCCCGGCCGTTGGCAACAACAGCCATGGCGGCAGTGTGGAAGAAACCGGTGAACGGGAGCCCCATGTCCGCCGCCACAGCACCCTCGTCGCGGCAAGCTTTGTTGGCCAGCGACCAGGGGTGGACCCCGAGAGGCTACGTCCCCATGGTGCTCGTCGGCGACGAGGAGGGCAGCGAGGAGAGGATCATGGTGCACGCCGAGATGCTCAAGGAGCCGTGCATGGCGGCCGTTCTGGAGATGGCCGCGCAGCAGTTCGGCTATGGCCAGCCAGGCGTGCTGAGGATCCCATCCGTCGTCGACCGGTTCCAACAGATGGTCGGCGCCGCGTGCGAAGCTAGATAGATTATGTATGTATACGGCGGGCAGCCACATTTGTGCTGAATTTGTTCATTCTTTGATTGATACGGATTTCATCCAGTATTCGGTGTGCCAGGTGAAGCTAGATACCAGACTTGCATGTACAGACAAGATGCATTTTGTGCTGAACCTGTTCATTCTTTTGTCTGAACTTCTACCAGTAGTTAGTGTAAAGATGTGAAGGACGGACCTGTTGCAAGCGGTAGAATCTTACCGTCTGTGACCGAAAAGTCCCGAGTTCGAGCCGCGGTCTCCTCACATTGCACAGGCGAGGGTAAAGCTTGCCACTAACACCCTTTCCCAAACCCGCACAAAGCGGGAGCTCTCTGCACTGGGTACGCGTGAAGAGTATGCATACAGGGTCAGATTCCATGGATTCAATTTTCATCGGAAACTTGCGTGTAAATGTTGCCACTACTCACAGATCTCAGAAGAGAGATGCAAAAAGAAATCGTGAGGCGGTGTTATCCCATCCCATAGATAGATACAGCAGAAAAATGAAGAACTTAAGAAAAATACAGCGAAAGGAGAAAGAATGCTACAAAAGGGGTTTTGGTTTGGTTTTGCTTTTATCATTTCCATAGCTCCTCCATTGGTACACCACGCTCCTCGGCGACATCCTTGAACTGCTTCATCGTCTGCGTCGCCTTGATGGTGGCTCGTGCGTTGTTCAGGGGATTCTTGCTGCGCAGTTGCTTACCCAGAGCATTTTCAACGCCAGCCATCTCCAACACAACCCTCACAGCTCCACCAGCAATAACACCAGATCCAGGGCAAGCAGGCCTCAACATCACCCTGGCTGCTCCATAGTCCGCATCAGCTCTGCTCGCATTGCAGCAAAAACCAAGACAAATATTCAGATTGCAATACATCAACACATGCTCAACTTTTACAGTTATATATAGACCAATCTATCACAGAAAGGAGAGGGAAAATCCTTTTATTGCTTGGGATGCCAGAGGATTGACCAATTCATAACATGGCAAACATTCAAGGGGAATAAAAACAGTGCTAGTAATGTGTCCAAAGAGAAAATAAAATGGTAAAACTCAAGAGGCATAAAACTGCAATCAGTTGAGCAGAAACCTTTTACTTGACCCAATCGACCAGAGAAAAAAATGTTAAAGCACTAAAGCAGCACTTCCAGAGTTCAGACTTCAGTAGTGAGTAAAGTGTTTACAAAATTATATCACAACCTCTTAACCAGAATGCACATTTTGTGAGGGAGCCTATAAATTGCAAACACCGACTTAGTACAAGCTTCTATTGGCAGATGAACAGGATTTTGAGAATCTCTTTTTTTGGACCAGATATTCTAGCTATTCGTGTCAGGCTAGCTCCTTTTTGAAAACCAAGTCAGAAACACTGAGCCAATGAATTCATTTGCCTGAATTTGATTTGCCAAATAGGTTCTAGATTACTCACAAATGTATTTGTGCCAAAAGCTGGTAAAAGTAATGCTTGAATAAATGATAGTTTTGAACAGATATAATTGATGCAACCTTGCAAATACTACAAGTAATGCTTGAAAAAAAATCACAACTCAGGAAACTAAATCATGCCATCAAAACGTTATAACTGACCCAAATTAGTACTGTAAGAACAAAAGACCAAAAACAATGCACTAAATTGTCTAAAAGCAATGATGTATGCACCTTAACCAGGAGGAAAGGAAGTTAAAGGTGAACACTATGTTGCAAAAATAATTACTTCTACTTAGAGCATTTTGGATTCATAAAAATGATAGTTTAAATTATTCATTGCTGACAAACACTGTTACAAATAAATCATACTAGTTCAATGTTATGTCATACAAGAACTGTATAAACCTCAATTTAATTTCTCTACATTAAAGTGTTAAACTAAATGAATAATTTAAACTATCATTTTTATGAATCCAAAATGCTCTAAGTAGAAGTAATTATTTTTGCAACATAGTGTTCACCTTTAACTTCCTTTCCTCCTGGTTAAGGTGCATACATCATTGCTTTTAGACAATTTAGTGCATTGTTTTTGGTCTTTTGTTCTTACAGTACTAATTTGGGTCAGTTATAACGTTTTGATGGCATGATTTAGTTTCCTGAGTTGTGATTTTTTTTCAAGCATTACTTGTAGTATTTGCAAGGTTGCATCAATTATATCTGTTCAAAACTATCATTTATTCAAGCATTACTTTTACCAGCTTTTGGCACAAATACATTTGTGAGTAATCTAGAACCTATTTGGCAAATCAAATTCAGGCAAATGAATTCATTGGCTCAGTGTTTCTGACTTGGTTTTCAAAAAGGAGCTAGCCTGACACGAATAGCTAGAATATCTGGTCCAAAAAAAGAGATTCTCAAAATCCTGTTCATCTGCCAATAGAAGCTTGTACTAAGTCGGTGTTTGCAATTTATTTTTACGTGCCAATTTTTCTCAGCCATGTTGTTCAAGATCCCCTACAAATCTGCTAATACAAAACTAACGCCACCAATGGCAAGCAACCTTCATGACACCATAATTATGATTATGACATCATGTGGTGGGCCCATGATTTGGAAGATGGGTATTCGAAAAAATATTCTTGAACACACACGAGAGCTGTGTATCATAATATTAAGAAGAAAAAGGGGAAGACCCTTACAAAACCCATTTACACCACTCACACCAAAATTTCAAAGGGTCAAAAAAATGATTTTTCTTACCGTCTAAAGCCTACTCCCTCCATTCAAAATTATAAGACGTTTTGGGTATTCTAGATACATAGTGTTTGCTATGCACTTAGATATACATAGATACATAGTAAAAGCAATGTATCTAGAAAAGCCAAAATGTCATATAATTTGGAATGGAGGGGTTAGTTTTTTGCATGTATAATTGATTACAGCATCACATAGTACTAACTGTATAATAAATAACACAGAACTGAGCAGTATATCCTAGATTCATAGACTTGATCCTAGCTTAAAAGTGTTCAACATATTGAAATACTCGTTGTTTTGCAAAAATAATAGGTATTCAATTGAACACCCTTGACTTCAACCAGACCCGCCCCTTGCTAATCCGAAACAAGTGAATTACTATAGGCTTATCCACACAACTGAAACATTCAGAGAACAGGAAAGGAGACATAGCTACAGTACTGGATCTAACATCTAACATGGAGTTTGCTGTCGATGTAGAGAATTACAAATTCGTGAAAGAAAATTCAGATTGATTTTACCATCAAACTTGATCAAACAAAAGATAAATGACCATGACACTTCAGTGCCTCTGTCAAATAGGAATGCGCTAACAGGGACAATTTTCAAAAGTCATGTTAGCTTCAAAATAGCCACATTGGGTCAAGAATAGTACCACAAGAGAACCAGCAACGAGACTTGATTTTGCAGCCACTAGCCACATTTCTTAAAACAGCTTAATGTATGCTTTTCTTAGGCCTCAGTCAAGGTAGAAGAATAGTGCAATAAATTGAAAGCAAGTCTAAAACCAGCTTTATTTCTATCAGTCGGCAAGCACAATTAACCTTCACTGCTCAATGTCCAGAGTATCTCACTAAATTCAACCTAACACAAGGATTAGGTGTAGGCTAACCATCTTGGGAGCAATTCAAGTACAAGTGAATCTTAAGTAGTGCTGGACAATGTCACTGACCTGTGCGGGAATGTGGAGTACTTAGTGAGCGGCACTGTGACAAGGTTGCGTCGTCCGTTCATGGCGGCCTTGGTGATGGCCTCCGTGACCTCCTTGGCCTTTCCCACGCCGACGCCAACGTGCCCCTTCATGTCGCCGACGACGACGATTGCGCGGTAGGAGAGCTGCCTGCCTCCCTTGACGACCTTGGTGACGCGGTTGACCTGCACGACGCGCTCGGTGAAATCGTCGTTGGGGCGCTGCTCCCGGTCCATGTCGATGGGGTCGACCACCTTGACCTCGTAGACGTTGTTCCCCAGCAACGACTCGCCGCTGAAGGCCGGCCCGTAGAGAGACTCGTACGCCGCCGCCACGTCTTCTGGGGACTCCGGCGGTAGCTCGTCAAACGCGGCGGGCTCGACGTAGCCCTCGGGGGGCGCCGCGAACTGGAACTCGGAGGAGGACATCGGCTCCGGCCGCGGCTTCTCGTCCTCGTCGTCCTCCTCCTCGTCCCCAGCGGCGGCAGATTCCTCCGCATCTCCTCCCTCCTCGGCGACGGAGTCGTCCCAGGAGGAGGCCTTTGGGACAGGGAGGAGGAGGCGGCGGGAGGCAGCGAGGAGGAGGGGTTGAGGGCGGAGGCGGAGGCCGAGGGGGAGGGGGAGGGATGGGAAGGGCGCGGATGGGATCGGGGCGGAGGGGGAGATAGTTGCTATGGCCATGGCGGTGGCAGTGGCCGCCATTTTGAAGTTGTAGGACGCCCTGCGACGGCGATGGAGGGGAGGGAGGAGGCGGAGGCCGGTGAAGTGCGGGGATGGGAGTGGCCGTTGCCCAGCTTATCCCTTCGTTATCCAGTGTGGAGACGGGGCAGCCTTGTTGGATCATTAATGGGCCACCTGGCCCGAACGGATCGGCCCGTCCCAGACTCCATACCCAAGGGGAACGGGAATCCCATTATCGCCTTGTTGGGCTAGCGGCCAGTAGGGTACCCTTCGCCAGCACTCGTCTAGCCGTCGTCTTCCTCCCTCGACGGAAGACAGAAGCAGCTGCCGCGAGAAAATTGTAATTATATGACGTGAAAAATGCTCTTTATTATAGGACTTCAAACATCGATTTTGCTAAAACGACTTTTGAAATGTTGACACTTTGTTATATATAACATTTGATCTTTTTAATCACTTTTCTTAACTAAAATATATATATTTTATCATAATGTGACCGTATTGCCCTCGAGCCTCGGGGCTGCTGGCCGCAGTCGTCCCCGGTCTGGATGCTGGTCCGGGTGACCGTGACCTGGGACGAGGCCTGCACGTGGATCCCGTCCGTGTTGGGGCTGCTTCCCGGCGCGACGATCTGTACGTCCTGCACCGTGACGCCCTCGCGCCGTCGATCACGACGCGTGGTACAGCTTCATTGCCGTCGACCGAGGTCGAGCCGCTGATCACCACGTCCCTCGAGTTCAGCACCTTCAGCGACTGGCGACGCACCAAGTCGATCAAGAGGAACACTTTATATTTGTGGTGTCATGCATGTTTGCACTTCAGCATGCACTTGCAAGAATAAGATGCATGTGATGTGATATGGCAACTCACTGTTGCTCCACTGGGGCACCCGCCGTGCCCGGCAGCCTTGCACGCCCACAGCGCCTCGCCGCGGCCGTCGACGCGTGGTCGAACACGATCCAGCCGTCGTCCACGCCGCTGGTGTAGCCTGATGGCGCAACAAGCGCACCATCGACCTGAAGCGTCACCCTGCTGGAGCATGGGCGATGAAGGCCGCCGCATGGCGAGAGCGAGAAGTGCCCGTTCGGCTCGTGCCGGTGCCCGTTCCGTGACGCAGCGTGACGGACCAGAGCGTGGACGTCCGTCCGGTCGTCGAACCGGCAGCGACATCGGCGAGCACACGGCGAAAGAGCGCGCAGCGGCGCTGGGAATAAGCGTTGATGCGAGCCACGATGCATCAAACACGTCGATGTTCTTGTTGCGATCGTCACCGCTTCCAAAGCGAGGCGAAAGAAGCGCCCGACAACCCCATCCCACGTCAATTGAAGCCCTGAGGGCAATACAATCATATTATGACAAAATACATGTATTTTAGTTGAGAAAAGTAATTAAAAAGACCAAATGTCATGTATAACAAAGTGCCAACGTTTCAAAAGTCGTTTTAGCGAAGACGATATTTGGAGTCTATAATAACGAAGCGTTGATGCAATTTTCTCCACGATCATCAAACACGTCGTGATGTTCGTGTAAGGATGAAAACGGGCCTCGACCGGAGAACTCCTCAACCGCTACTTTTACATTTGAATACGCGAAAACAAAAGCGCAAACCAAAGCCGAACACGAACCCCATCCCAAAACTCAATACGGAATACCAATTGAAACCACATGATCAAGTTCAAGTGCATATAATAATTAACAAGTGCATATTATAGAAACATGAATATAAAATTATAAATATGACAAAATACATGTATTTTAGTTGAGAAAAAAGTAATTTGGGTGAAAAACTATCAAATGATCATGTATAACAAAGTGCCAACGTTTCAAAATCTCGTTTTAGCGAAAGAACAACTTTATATATTTGAGTCTTTTAATAATATTTCAAATTAAAAGTTGTTTCAAACGCCTTATAATTGCAATTTTCTCTTTTACGCCGAAATCTTGAAAGCGAAAACTGGACAAGCTTGTTAATCGGAAAATATAAAAAAAGCGATGCGGTTCGGTTCCCGTCCGACTTGTCATCGTGGGTGTCGTGGCCATGGAAAAGGCCAGCGCCGAGCGTCGAGCCGTTGAGGGGCAACGGCTAATGTCCGAACGGCGGTAGTCGTAGTCGGCTGCCCAAGTTTGATGCGGGGGGCGCCGCCGCCGCCAAATCGCCATGCGTCTTCATTCAGGTAAGAAAAAAGGGTATCGTGTTTTTATCAATTGATTCAGTTCGACTTGATGGATTCTTACTGAAACGTAGAACTGAGCAGGTCTGCAGTTTTCGTGGTGAGTGGTGACTGACTATTGAGGCCTTCCTCACCTAAAATTTACTCCCTGTCCATCAAATATTTTTGACACATGCATAGAGTATTAAATATAGATTAAAAATAATTAATTATACAGTTTACAACTCAATTGTGGGACGAATTTTTTTTTAAGTCTAATTAGTCTATGATTTGATAATATGGTGCTACAGTAACACATGCTAATACCATATTAATGAGGTGGTTTACTGATAGATTCTATAATTTATTTATTTTTATTAGTATTCACATACCCGATTTAAAATTTTACACACTGTGTTTAACAAGCCCCGGTTCCTCCGAGAAGAGGGCCAGAGCCACGACTGCCGCCACCGACCTCACCGATGACCTCATCATCGAGATACTGTCTCGCCCGCCGATTCAAGTGCGTCTCCCGTCACTGGCACGGCCTCATCTCTCACCCCGTGCACCGCAAGAACATTCCCCAGACAATATCTGGCTTCTTCTACCCTCACTACCTGTTGAGCCACGAGAACAAGATAACAGCTGGACCCTTCGTTGCCCTTCTTTGCTGACTACAGGTGGATCCGTCCTAGGGACTGCTGCGGTGGCCTTCTCCTCAACATGTGCTGGAAGGTGAATCCCAGAGATGAATGCAATCACGTGGTGTGCAACCCCGCTGCTGATAAATGGATGGTCCTGCCTGAGCCCCCTTGACAACTACAGCCCAGTGTCTACAATGCGTTTGGGTTTCGACCCGGCCACTTCCTCTCACTTCTATGTGTTCCGGCTCCTAGAGGAAGATCAGTACGGATATATCACTGGCCTGGAAATTTACTCGTCGGAAACTGGAGCGTGGAGTCACAAGGAAAATGGTTGGAGCGATGAGGTTGTGCCGGTCGAGGAAAGAGGTGTCTTTATGAATGGAATACTCCATTTGATCTCCTCTGATTCCACTATACTGACAGTGGACAAGGAAGGGAAGACATGGAGGACTATTCATTTGCTGGAAAGTATGAGTTTTGAAAACTTTTATAAGGGCCCTGTTGCTTTTATTGGTCAATCACAGGGGCGCTTGTGCTATATAAATACTAGGAGACATCTCACTTCTAAAATATCAGTCCGGATCCTTGAAGACTATAGTGCGGGTCAATGGATATTTAAGTATAATGTTAGCACTTCCCAACTTTGCGGAGAGGTGGATCTCATGTTCGAGCGGGATTATTCTTTAATCGCAATCCACCCAGAATGCAATGTGATTTTCGTTGTTTGGAAATGTGAGAATCTGCTAATGTCATATGACATGGATTGTGGGAAAGTTTGTGTTATATGTACTCTCACAGAGCCTATTGATGAGAAATTTTTTCTACAATATTTTCCATATGTACCTTTTTTCTCGGACTCACTGGCTGATCAAAACTAGAAGCACAACACAAAAGGTGAAGATCAACAATTGTGACTCCAAAATGCTATGGGTGTCTTCTCATGAGCTAGACTTCGGTTGTGACCAAATTAAATCATGAGGATAGGTTATCTACTTTAATTTTTCTTCTTTTCATAGTCTGTGTTTATGGTAGTATGATACATTCCTGGTCTTGTTTTGAAGAAATGCTATGAATCGACAATCATAAAGAGGTTGTATTGTAACTTGAATACCTGATAGTGTAGAGATTACTTAAATAAGTATGTTTGCTTTTCATTAATGATAATTGTTGCCATTTGTTATCTGCAGTGCCATATATTTGCCTGCATTCATCTAATTCTCTGTCATAGCTACTCCCTCTGTCCTAGAATATGGTGTGTTGTGACTTCTAAAATTAAGCAGCAATCCTAGCAGCCGAACAGACTGAATGCATTCTGTGTGGTGCCCATACTCAGATTTGGTAAAGTTCGTTAAAAAGGTAACTATAATTTGAGGAGAAAGTCCTTAAATGGATTTAGTCTATAGGTACATGCGTCTTTTGATCATTCAGTTAAGTTGTCTTAAAATTTTTGGAATGTGCTATATTATATGATAGAGGGAGTAGTCCATTTGATGGATATATGTGACCACTTACAATTTCGACTAAGATGTATCCTCAGTTCCTCACTAGGTGAAATCATTTTAGAAGAACTAGATTGTTGCCTGTTCAATTTAATAAAAGGTAAGTAGTTGTGAAGAATGGACATTAAAGTACAGCTGTTGTCAACCGTGAAGATTATGCAGCTTAAGTATACAAAAATTACTTATAAATTTGTCGCTGCTTCTTTTAACTAATTATAATATATTTATATTTGTTGGGACTAGGATAGTTATGTACATTTGTATATTCTGTAGAAACATTCATTTTCAGGACCATAGCACATCTTTATACCCAAGAATTGGCGTTGGAAAAGTAGAGGTGATAATGATCAGAATCAGGTGAAAATATCAAAAATGTTTCCTGATTCACCTTTTCTTTGTCGGAAATCAAACTCGAAAACCATAATAAAGCCAAATATAAATACAAAGTCAGAGTTATCAGTCTAATGTGTTTGGTTGAGCTGTGAAAAAGCTGACATGGGTTATGAACTGTGACAAAGCTAAAAGCCATTTGCTTGAACAGCTATGGCTTTTGGGGAAAAAAAACTGCTGTCAGCAGTCAACCACCCAATCCATAATTCAGATATGGATCGTACTTTTGCGTATCATCGTGTTTCCGATGGAATGATTTACGACTGATGGTGGGTCATTTGTGAAATTCTACTTTTATTCAATGTCAGAAGACTGTTGTTTCTGAAGAGAGAAAAGAAGATGGTGCAGTAGTTTACGTGGCCTTTTCTCGTTGGCTTCTCTGTTATTTTCATGTTACATGGCTACTTATTTATCTGCAGGCGCCAGGCAGTAGGCCATGAGATTAACAAGGATGTGCTTTGTATGCGGATGCCGACGTTTCTACTAAGGGCCCATTTGGATCCTACCAATTGAATCCTGTTCATGTAATAAGATTCCAACAATTGCTTTCGAGGGTGGTAGTATTCCTGTCTGGATGTGCATAGAATTTATCTTCAAGAATGATAGATTATTACAAAAGCTATTTGGATAAGAGAAGGCTTATTGCCGTATGAGAATGTGATAAGCATGGGCTTTATCTAGGAGTATAGTAGTTTGGTCTGGGGATGCGCCACTGGGCCCAAAAGTGCAACTATTCTCATCTGTGTTACACAATGGTGGTAAACCCGCAGGCCCAACACTGTGGAATCGGAACGGAGGACGCCGGTTGCCGGGCAAGAGCGGGCTGGCGATCTCCAGAGGAATCTTTGCTGTCGCCTGGCTCCAAGGCAGGCGGGTAGGTAGGGACCCGTGGCGCCGTGGCGGGCTTCGACCTTCGAGGTGAAGGGGCGACCGGGCGACCCAATTCGTCTTGCCACGTGGCCACGTCTGACGCTGCCCATCAGATCGGATTGGGTTGGGAATAGGATATTTTGGGCTGGCCAGATGCATCCATCCAGTCCAACATATATATATCAAACAAAATTAATTTTGAATATTTGATTTTAAATACAATTAGATATTAAATGTTTGGATTCAAATACGCACTATCCATGACCCTGTTCATTTCACTAAAATTTAGCTTATATAGATGTTGATGCTAAAATGTGGTGAGGGAAAAATACAGCTCTTTTCACTGACAAGTATAAAGTAATGCTGAAGTATTGCAGCACACAATATAATATAAGATTTTGCGGCAGTCCGCTTCATTTTTCTTTGTTTGATTTTGAAAAGAAAAAAAAAGCTCCATCCTTATCTACTTTGCTGCGTCATCGCAGGCTCTCAGACGTGGGCAGGTCCGCTCACCGCGTGCACCAGCTGAAATTTCCGGTCCAGATCCAGAGGTTACTTACGCCACCGCATGACCGGGACCCGGCTGAACGCATTTATCTGCTCCACGCATGCTTCCAGCTTCCATCGCGCCCTTGGCGTGCGGGCGGTACAATGACCACGCCGGTGTCCGGACACTCGTCTCCTCCGTGATATAAGAGAGGCCCATCAGGTCGCTGCTCTTGTACCCGCGGTGCTCGGTGCTCGGTGCTCTTTTGCCATTGTATTTCGCGGTAGCAGTAACTCGTTAACTCGCCGGAGCTCTAGATCCATCTACCTTGCTGGCTTTGTGAGTGAGCTCGAGAGAAAGGAGCGAGCAGCGACCGAAGAAGATGCTGGACAAGCTGTGGGACGACGTGGTGGCTGGGCCTCACCCGGAGACGGGCCTCGAGAAGCTCCGCAAGGCCGCCACCCCCCGCCCGCTCGTCATCGACAAAGGTACTCATCGTCATCGGCTTCCTAGTATCGAATCGGCATCAGCATCGGATATGGGCTATCTATGCAGTCGAACCAAGTAGCGGCTTATATGACTAACTACTATAGAAATGAATGAATCACTCGTTATTTACGTCGTTCAGGAACAGAAATATAATCAGAACTGATCTAAACCATACTGATGTAGTAAAATCCTACACAAGTTGTAGGGCGTGGCGTCACTAATTACGGAGTACTATGCTACTGTACTGGTACTGTTGTTGTGTTAATCCGCCGGGCTTGCAGGTTAATTCGTTCACTGACTGATCTTACTGACCACCGTTTTTGTTTACTTTCTTCTGATAAATAAATTAAGACGCGGACGCCGGAGCCGCGGGGAGCTACAAGCGGACGCAGTCGATGCCGTCGACCCCGACGACGCCGGTGACGCCGTCGTCGTCGACGACGACGCCGCGGCGCGGCGCCAACGACAACGTGTGGCGCAGCGTGTTCCACCCGGGGAGCAACCTGGCCACCAAGGGCATGGGCGCCAACCTCTTCGACCGCCCGGAGCCAAACTCCCCCACCGTCTACGACTGGTAAGCATCATCTCATCTCTGACACCGCCGTCTTCGCCTACAGCTAGACCTACGTGATCTGCTCAAGCAGCAGATCCAGCATCAAACTAATAATTGAGCACAAACTTGGCTGCTGTGCTGCTCCCACTCTTGCTCTCTGAGTCTTGTTTAACTAGATGAATGGTTGATTTTAATTAGTTCTATAATTAAGACAATATATGCACTAGTGAAGTAAGCACCAATAAAAAAAACAAAGGCAACATGGGATCCACTTAGCGAACCATGATTTGCTCACGTGGCATGCCAATCCAGAAGCACGACCGAGGAGAGTGAGACAGTGACAGAGAGTGCTATACTTTACTGTTTCAGTGTTTGTTCGAACGGTTAAGGCCTAAAGGCCACACACGCTGGTGGCCAAATTTATTTAATATAATAATACTCCGTGTATATAAATAAACTCCTCTTAATTTGTTTCTTAATATAGTAATAATTAACCTGTGAAAACGATCTAGTACTACTAGTTAAACAATGGTGCCATTTGGACTTGAGCAAACAAAATATCGTGACACAGAATGTTGTCATATGTACGTATAATATTTCATTTCAGGCTCTACAGCGACGAGACCAGGAGCAACCACCGTTAGATCGGATGACTGGATGAGACCGATGATGATGAAGGGCCCGGCGTCTCTGTCAGGCCACGTTTGCTGGTCCTTGTGGTTATCTAAAACGCATGCACGCTCTATCATAGTACTTCTGCGTTGCTGTTGCTGATAAAGACTTTGCCGTTTAATTTATCCTACATGTCATGTTATGTTATGTTATGTTATGTTATGGAGTGAGTGATATGCAGTCGTCGCTCCTAGTAGTGAGTACTGAGTACGTAGTTCCTGGTATACTTGGTCAGTTCCTCTGACTCGGCTTGGCCAGTGAAGGGAGCTCTGTGTGTGTGGTACGTGTGGTGTGTGCTAGCTCTTCTCATCTTGTAAATATTTTGCCAGTGAGTAATTGATGCGTGTACTTCTACGTGCCTGTTTCTTCCATTTTGATTTTCCTAATCTTGATGAATAGTATAATCAGTTAGTAAACCAGCGCTGAAGACATGGATAACAACAAAATTACCCAGACAAGGATCCGTTCTTTTTCGCTGCTTAGCCTAAACACATACACACACCATACAGACAGACAGTAGTATTGTATCGGTCTATGTTATGTGCGGCAGGGGAGTGCGAACAAAATGCACCGTGATGGGTAACGGAGCCCGAGTTTGGCTCCTTGGTAAAAGTTACTACCCCGTTAACTCAACTTAACTAATAATCACTAAAAAATGGTTGCCACGTCGTCGTCAGGCTGCCGTGTTGGGCTTGTGCTGACCGTGACTTGCCATTTGTAACCGCATTCGGGCACCCGCGTGAGGATTCAATCAGATCCGGCTATGCCATCCTACCTCGATAGCGAAATCGGCTAAGCTAGTGGGTGGTGGCATTAGTACTAGTCAATTGACTATTGCTTGTAGTGCTGTTTGTTTCTGAGACCACCTTTGCGTGTTACAGAATGCGGAGGTAAAAATGGATTTTAAGAATGCCTAGAATGCCGAGGTGAAAATGGATTTTAAGGAAACTCACCGTATGGTGCATCTAGTGAGACTAAGGTTATGTTTGGGACCACTTCTAGACGGCTTCTGGCAAAAAGAAGTCGTCCAAGGGTGTTGAATGTTGTGATTCTCCACTGGCACATTTTGCCCGTGGTTCTTTCCCCACCTCGTTTCAACATAAACACGGAATCGCTCGAGCCCCGCGTTTGGCTCCACTCGCTAGAGCCCCTATCTCCTCCCCTCGCTCGGCACTGTGTCTGGTCACCTTGAGTCATATCTTCGCCTCCCTCTCTTAGGCCCCACCTCCCTCTTCCTCTCACCTCCCCGCCACCGGAGCCAAAAGCAGTCGAATCCGACAAATCTGCCCCCGGCGACGACGATATGGTGGGTGATGTCCGCAAGACAGGGCCGGTGGCGGCGCTGAATCCAGTGAGAAGGCACTACAGTGTGATAGCATATGGGCTTACGCAACATCCTCCTCACCGAGCCCCTCCTCTTTCTTTGTGTCCTCGTCCGAGCTTGAACATGCATGTCGAGTTCTTTCTCCCCCTAGAATCTGCCATACCAAACGCTAAGCTTTTTCTCCGCGTGATTCTTATAAAAGTTCGTTGTGGAAGAAGTGCAACTCTGATTCCAAGGGAGGTCTATAAAAGTTGTTCCAAACAGGGTATAAGATATATCGAGATTTGAAATAGCTTTTTTTTGGGTGAAAATAGATAAAAGTCTATTATGTGATATTTGTCAGAAAGTGATGGCTAAGCATCATAAACCTGCTAGGTTGTTGAAATAATTGAAGATTCTTAAGTGAAAATGGCGAAAATAATATTACGATGGATCTCTGTGATTGGATGTCCTCGCTCTCATAGAGGAAGGATGTTATAGAATGTTAGCATCCGCCCTACAGTGGCGCGAGGTTGAGCCCGATAACAGGTAACCTAAGTTGAAAGAAAAGAACGGTGATAAAAGGCCTAGAGTGATATTGAATCTAATAACTTAGGTTATGTTTGGTTGAGCTTGTGAAGAGTGTTTTGTTGTAAAAAAACGTAAAGCTAACCAAACAGTTGAAATATGAATCTACTTTTTCATAAACAAAACACCTTAGACCCTGCTTTTAGCCCTCCGTTTTTTCAAAATATATAGATAGAGAGTTGTTTCACAATTATTTCAAGAAAAACAGAGGGAAAAAGTGTTTTAGCCAAACAATATATAACCATAAATTATGTAACAGAACCGACCAATTATACGAAATTAAGTAAGAAAATCATCCACCAGAGCAGACGATTGAGCAAACTTAAGCCCGTATAACCCGGTAGTCCGTGAAATCACGAAGGATTTCAAACCAACTCGTGTCCCAGCCATGATCGTAATAAGTTTAGCGGTCACCAATCACATATTACATAAAAGTTTCCATAACAGATACATCAGAGTTTAAACATAGTTATTACAAAACAAGTTCGAATAAAAGTAGCGGAAGTCATTTGTTTAAAACCACACACACACTCACACGGAGTTCAAATATAGTGCCAGCGAATGATCATCTCCAACAAAAGCATTAGATGAGACGTAAAGGAATGACCATGCCCATGGTCCTAAGCATCACCATCGCAGGATAGAGCGCTTGATACAATAGCCATAGTACATCCGCCCATCTCGCAACAAGTGGGAATAAAACCCCGAGTACGAGAAGGTACTCAAATGCCGGACTACCCGACATAACCGAAAATAAATGACACCAAGGATTATGCGTAATTATAGTAGGGTAGTCACTCTTTTGCAAAAGAAGCATTTTAGCATTTCAAGAACCTTTCTAAAAGCAAGATTGTCAAGTTAATTATTATTAACCTGTCGACTAGATTTTCACCTATACTAGAGTAAACATGTGATTAAGCGATTAATGATAACCACTGATCATTAAACAACTTCCATACTGTCATATTCACTATAACTGTCCAAGTGTTCCATAAACATTTACTACGATGAAGTCACTCAAGTCAAGTGCTCACTATCCAGAGCGATGGCGATTCAATCGATTCCTAACCAAATGGTGATTTATTCCTTACACAAATCTCACTCACCCGCTAAAGTGAGATATTGATCACCGAGTCAACTTTCCGTGTATCTCGAGTTTGCCAGAACCACATGTACCGGGGGCGACCGATCGCACTTTGGTCTTATCATCCCGCCCGTGTCCTACCACACCGCTTCGCACAGCAAAGTCGCGCATGGGCAATCTACTCGGCCGAAAAATCTCCCGGCTTGCGGGTCGGAAGGTACTTTATCCGCCAAACTAAATGTAAGGCATGCGTTCAACATGACTCGAGGCCCAACAACGGTCGGTTCTAATCGACACGACGGAAACACTACAGGTCCAAAACCCCGCAAGTCTCCGCCTTGGTCTCAACTTCATTTAACACTTAGTTATACCATGACTTCATAGTCATCCAAACAGATCCAGTAACCACCTATAGCTCGCAGTGACAGAAATCACCCGACTTCTACCGGTCTAAGCCAATTAAGCATTGACTCATCATGCGGATACCAGGGTAACAAGGATATAGTATAACAAAGGTAAACAAGGTATAATGCAAAGAACGGTTGCAAACAACTCCTGAACGTAATGCATCAATTTAAAGTAAAGCATTTAACGAAATCATTGCAAACCGGGAGAAAGATGCTCCGGGCTTGCCTCTCTCTCAAGGAGCTCGGACGGTGATCGGGCACTCTGAAGTTCCTCAACGTCCTCCTCGCCGGCTTCGGCACTTCCCTGCTGCTGCGCCTCGAGCTGCTCCTCGGCTCCTCGGTTATGACGACTGGGTTCTCGGTTTATGATCCTGTATGATGCAATGCGCGTAAGTGATTATGCAAACGGTGCATCAAGGAGAGATGAATGCAATGGATATGTTTAAATGCAAGGTAGTCAACATCATCCACGAAACTATAATACAAGCACATGTCATCTACTGCATTCTCTTCTACTACTAATATGTTAAGTTAACCTATCTTATGAAATGCTTCAAAGATACACCAAAGCTTTACTAATTTCTTAATCACACTTAAAGCGACACTTGCTTAAACCCTAATTAATAATAGGTTTGAATAGCAACATATATTTCTGATGCTCCTAAAAATCTGAGAAAATTACAGTAGCATAATACTACTCTAAACAGACTACCATAAAAATTTCATGGCATTTGGATAAGTAAACTATCCTACACAAAAATGACAAGCTATAGCATGAAAATGAGCATGAAATTACTTTGTACTATGAAAAGTGTCAAACAACAGAAATAATATTTTTCCTAGGTTCTTCATAGCATATAATGGCTGTACAAAAATTATCACATGCATGTTTTATACAAAATTTGTGCCCTAGCAAAATAACAAAAATCAGCCATTAAAAGTACTTGAACTACACCTCAAAATTTTTCCACAGAACATGCATGAAATATATTTTTCCTAGGAAGTACATGACATAAGAAGATGAACAAACTTGAAATCATATTTTTCTGAAGCCTATATATTTCTATACCCATTTTTCAAGTTATCAGCAATATTCAAGATTAAATAAAATCCTATAGAAAAGTATCCCAAAAATGACATGCAATAATTTTCCCTAGTAGATCTGGTAATAAGGAACCTAGAAAAATTTGTTTCAACAAATTTGGAGCAAATTTGACCATCCAAACATTTTTCAAACCATTTTTGATTTCAAATAACAAATAATAAATAGAAATCGATTCATTTAAATGCTACTGGGCCGGCCTGCGGAATGGAACTGGCCCACGGCCATCACCGGCCTGCGCGGCCCAAGCGCGAGGGAGGGGGAGTCGGCCTGGCTCGGGGCTCGGCCCACGGCCACTTGGCTCGCCTACTGGTGAGCCGAGGTATGCCATGGCGCTTACGCACGCATTGACCATGGCTTCGGCCACGAGGCCGCATGGCCATCTCCCACCGAGGCAAGGCGGGCTAAGCGGGCGCATGCGACGCGAGAAGATGGTGAGTCTTGGTAGGGCGCTAAGCGGGGAGAAGAGAGAGAAGGCGACTCCCATGGCGGCCGAGCACGCCACGGCGCATGGCCGCCGGTGGCGAGACGTGGGGAGGCGTACCAGTGGCTCGGAAGAAGCGGAGCAAGCTCGCATGTGAGCCAAAGGGAGGCGAGGCGAGTCATGGGCGCGACAATTGAAGAATGGCTCGGTGGTGGGAGTTAGGCCGTTAAGCCGTGAGCTCGGGCTCATGGCGGGCGAGGGAAAAGCAGCAAGGAGGAGGGGGGCGAGCGCGGCTGGTCAGCAGCAGCTGCCCTCTTCAAGTCCGCCAGAGCGCTCTTGTGTCGAGGCTAGCCGGGCGCGTGGCGGACACGCTGCGCTTTCGCCGACGACGCGGGGACGTGGCGCGGCGACGGGCACGCTGCAAGGGAGGAGAAGGCGCCATGGCGGCAGGCAAGCCAAGGCCAGTGTCACCGGGGCTGGGCCGAGAGGAGGCGAGGCGCAAGGCTGCTGTGGGGAGCTCACTGGGCGGCTTTGTTGGCGGGCTGGCGCGGCGGCGGCCCAGAAAAAGGAAATGATGAAGATTTTCAATTTATTTTCAAGAGATTTTAAATGCCATCTTTCAAACATTATTTTGAGCAAGAAAATGACCTCTTTTGAAAATGTACCAAAAATGAAAGTTGCTTAGAATTTAATTACCTACAACTTTGCTTTTATGACCAAAGTCCAATTCTATCTAGATTTTAAATTATCGAATCAAAGTTAAATTTTAACTCAAAACCCTAATTTTGGGAACTTACTTTGGAAGTAGAATTTTAAATTAATTTGAATACAAACCTTGCTCCAAAAATTGTGCTAAACCATTCTAGATGATTTATAAGCATAACCAACAGTTTCTACTCAACTAGCAAGCAAGAATCAGAGCAAAACAACCATAATAAGTGTATGTACCATTTACGTTTCACAATCATGTTTCGTATGTTTCGAAGAAATATTTCAGTTATTATATGCAAGATTATGCATGTATGATTAGGATGCTTGATGATGCATGATATGCATGATTTGCAGTGCCTAAATGTAGGCATAACACCGGGGTGTTACAAATTATAGCTCACAACAACTTTTTCATAGCTTATATTAATTTTTTCACGGTTGAAGGACCATTAATAAAGCTAGAAAAGAGTTAAGCCCCTGATCTATGTACAACACCCTACTTCTCCGTTTCGTTCGTTTGAGCTGGTTTGGCCTGTAAGCCATGACTGAAAGTATTATTGGTAAATTTATTGTGAGAGAAAAATATTATTCGCTGGCTGGTGGCTTATCAGCGACCAGGGAACAGGCTGCTCAGCTCTCACTCTGCCCAGTCATCAGAAGTCAACGGCGTTCAGTTCCTTCCCCGCTCTCCGTCCTTCGGCATGCTTCTCCTCAGCCACTCGCCGCCGGCTCCCGCCGCCGCGGTAACCGTTCCCCGTCGTATCCTCCTTACTCCCCACAGGCGCCTCAAGGCTACGTCCACCCCACCGCGTCTCGCCTGCCTCCGCCTTCGCCCCGCCACCCCGCCCCGCGGCATTCCGTCGAGGACCGGGTGCAGCGCGGCCGCTGCCGGTGCCGATGCAGCGCCCTCCCAGGCTCCAGGAGCCGATGGAGGTGTGCGGGGCGCGCTGGTGCGCGTTGGGGAGGCTCTGTCGCTGGGGTTCCCGGTGTGGGTGGCGTCGGCCTGCGCGCTCGCGCTGTGGCGGCCGCCGGCCTTCCTCTGGGTCGGGCCCACCGCGCAGATGCTCGGCCTCTCTTTCACAATGCTCGGTCGGCGCCTTCCTTCCCTTCCGTATCCGTAGTTCCGTTCCCCCGCTAGTACTTGTTCTACCCCTCATGGTGCTGTCTCGTGCCACTTCTTCTAAGTGGACTCAAACTCTACTTCCCCTGTGGGGTTATTAGCTCTGTTGATGTCCTCTATATGATATTAGAACAGCTGCTAGCAATGAGATCGCTGACTAAATGCACAAGCTGATAGCAGGAAAGTATATCCCAAAATGAAAAAGGACAGACAAGTGATTAGGAGAAAAGAAGATGAAGATTTAAAAAAGAACTGTACAATTTCAGTACTCTAGCACAATCCGTCATCTTTTGCATATTCTCACTTTGATACGAGTTTTTGGCTTTCTAGTTTCTATATAAGATGTTCTCTTTAGTCTTTACTGTGCCATTATGGTGGAGGCAGCAGGACCAAATTCTCGAGCACTCTGCGGTTCATGGAAACTGAGGAGTGTTTACTTTCTTGTACTCACGTATGTTGTCACTTTACAATTTACATGTGCAAACTGAGGAGTGTTTACTTTCTTGTGTCTGGACGTGTTATTCACCCCTGGTTTCATTTGGGGACCGTTGTATTTATAGTTGGTAATTGATATATGATTTATACCTACAGGAATGGGAATGACATTGACTTTGGATGACCTCAAAACCGCATTATTGATGCCGAGGGAGTTAGCTGCTGGATTTATACTGCAATACACGGTCAGTTCCCCCCTTTTTTGCTCTTCATATGTCTGAATCCTTGTAATCATATTCTCGAGTTCAAAATACACATACATTTACGCTATTGATGCATAATGTTAGTATATTTTGTAGTTAGTATTAGAGTTTTCCTTGTCACAGACACCATTAAGAGGAGGTCCACATGAGTTGGTGACTTGGTATAGTGAAGATGGAATCCTGATCATTGAGGCTAGCAGATTAGTAGAGAGGGGATCAAATAGTAGGTTCAGCCATCTAGTACAATATAAATTTGTAGTAGTCAATAGCCAGTTACGTTTGATGATTTAAACAAGCAAGAAAGCAATAAATCTACCCCCAGCCCACCCACTCTCCTGTTCGCTTTAACTTATCAGCCTGGCTTATCAGCCATGGTACAATGTTTTTCTCTCACAACAAAACAGCATCAGCCGGCTTATCAGCCGCAAAAACCATCAGCCATTGTACGCTTATTCTCACGGCCCTTCACTAGTGGCCTATTTGGATTGAGTTACCAGGTGATCCATCAAAGCATCCAATCCTAAATCCGATCCTAGTAACTTGTTTGGTTTGCATCCATGGTTCCGTATGTCCATCATTGTTGGGTTCCGCGCCAGTCAATCCAACAAACCAAACACGTTGTAGAGTTGATCATGTTACTTACATGTCGAGGTTCCACGCCTGCCGGTTCAACAAACCTGCTCGCTTGGTAGCAAAGGCATACCACAACATCTGGTATAAGAAACATGGTTGTTTTCATTGTTCCCAATACTGGGAACTATTAATATATACAGACAGATATTTTTCTGTTTTCTCTCTCTTTCTGGCCCATACTCTTGTATATACTTGCAACCCTAGACTCAAATGGATGGTGTGAGGTCATTCTTCCCTAACAGGATTCTTTCTAAAAAAATCTTCCCTAACAGTAACAGGAACAATTCGCAAAACCTGAAATAAGTTCTAGTGAATTGCATAACAGAGACCAAAAAAAAAAAAAAAATCCTTGTAGCATGAACTATGCGGAAGTTTCAACGAGTTGGAGTCTCACCCAAGGTCCCCACATATCACGTATTCACGTCATGATTGAGTCATAAGTGCATCCTGAAAAATACTTTTAGGCAATTATTTAAACACAAAAAATATTATGATTATCGGTGTTGTAAGTGGATGAAAAACCATATACTCTGTTAAACCATACTGCTTACATCGTCATTATCTATGAGACTGTTACTACAACTGCAGAGTCGTCCCTTGTAAAATTTGGCGCATCTTCTGTTTCTAAGCATATTTCGGTGATGACATGGATATATATTTTATGTTTTTCCCCTCCATGTGCAAGAAAAATCCAGAGTGAGTGATTTATGTACAGGTGATGCCACTGTCAGGATTTTTTGTGAGCAAGCTGTTGAAATTGCCATCCCATTATGCTGCTGGACTAATTTTAGTGGCCTGTTGCCCTGGAGGTGTGTATGCACTTCCCTTCCTTTTTCTATAGATTGGCTACTGGCACTTGAACTGAGAAGGAAAATGTATCTGCAGGCACAGCGAGCAACATTGTGACCTATTTAGCAAGGTAATGAAAAAATAAAGTGTCATGCCAAGAATAAATGCCATCACAAGCCTTGTTAAAACTTAGAACAATAATCATCTGGTTGGTGGCAATTCATGAAATGTTGGCAGAACGATATATTCTAAGTGATTAATGAATGTCAAGGTGATGAATCTTTTGAATTCTTCAGTGGGTATAACTGACTGGTGTTGAAAATTAACTTGAAATAAGTTGGTGCATTTGCATCTAATTCAAATTCAATGGAGGCAAATAATCAAAATTCAGGAATAGGGAATTGTACTGAAAAGTAAAGAGACTTAGATAAATTAATATTCAAATTGCAGGGCAAATGTTGCTCTTTCAGTCCTGATGACAGCAGCAAGCACTTTCGCTGCAGTGGTAATGTGCTACTCTCACATCTGTAATCCTCAACTTAGCTGTTACCTTTTGCTTTTTATTCACATCTTGCCCCCTGATGCAGTTCATGACCCCTCTACTGACATCCAAACTTGCTGGGCAATATGTTGCAGTAGATCCAATGGGACTGTTTGTGTCCACATCTCAGGTGCTGCAAATTTCAAATTTTGTCTTGTCTTATGTCTAATTTTTTTGACCCCTGGCTAATGTTGATATATCTTTTACAGGTTGTCCTCGCACCTGTCCTTTTGGGTGCTCTACTTAATCAGTACTGCAATGGTCTGGTTCAATTAGTGTCCCCGTTGATGCCCTTCATTGCTGTAGCAACAGTAGCCGTTCTCTGTGGCAATGCTATTGCACAGAATGCTTCAGCAATCCTAGCATCTGGGTCGCAAGTGGTTTTATCTGTTGGTTGCTTGCATGCATCTGGCTTTTTCTTCGGCTATGTTCTTTCAAGAATACTAGGCATTGATATCTCTTCCGCAAGAACAGTCTCTATTGAGGTTGGCATGCAGGTAACTGATGTCGAAATATTGTACCATTTACCTTATGTCAGATACAGATGATTTGAAAGTTTTCATCTCATCGCAACTCTTAATCTCTTTGGTGAACCAAGTGTCTGCCCATTTTTCCTTTCATTTTTCGAAGGATCTACGTCTTATGCCCTTCCAATTGTACATCGGCTGCCTTATTTATATCTCACCGAATTTCATATCTTTGCAGAACTCAGTGCTGGGCGTTGTCCTTGCAACCAAGCATTTCGGCAACCCTCTCACGGCTGTTCCATGTGCTGTTTCGAGCATCTGTCACTCGGTCTACGGTAGCATTTTGGCTGGGATCTGGAGGTCTATGCCCACTAAGGACAAGGGAGAATGATGCGATGATCATGTCAACCATCTGAATTCTCTGTTGTCCTGATGGATGAAGGATTTTACCTGTGGGACTAAACCGTTGATAGAATGACGGGTGGCTACGCTGTCAGTAGCAGCACTTTGTGTATGATCTATTTGCAGCAAAGAGTAAACACCGCAGAGTGGCGTGCGCTATAGAACACTAGGCTTGCACTAGGCTGCTTAGTGGTTCATTTGTTTTCTGGAGGTCTGTTGATGAGGGTTTCGTTGGACTCGGATAGTGTAGTTGGTGAATACATGATTGCTATGGATATACACCCATATTACCATGGCAGCTTGTTTATCACACTTTCACTTCGATGCCCAGCATCTCCGCTTTAAACAGTGTAACGTGTCAGTTTCTCAAGGGCGTAGCAGCGTACTGTTTCCCAAAATTGTTGACTCTCCCCCTCCAGCCAACCAGTGTTCGTGGGGCCGCAACTCTTTATTTTATTTTCTTTGAAGAAACTGCCTGCTAACATTCGCAAAGAAACGATACATTTCCACTCGTTTTATTCAAATATTTGTGTAAAATATCACTTCTTTCATCGTGGTTTAGTTTATTAATAAAAATTCTTCAAGATTGACTTAAATTTGACTATATTTACATAAATTTTTTAAATAAGACGAGTGGTCAAACTTGGGACAAAAAAGTCAAACGTCTTACCATTCGGTATGTGGGATGGAGGGAGTACATACGTACAGATATAATAAAACAGTAACGCTCTGGTATAATCAGCTAAAGGTTAAATACGACTTTGTCCTTGTCATACAAAGAGAAACGACAAAAAAGTAATTTCTGTTACATATCTTTTTTTAATCAGATTTCTGTTACATATATATATATCTGGGAAGCCGTTCGCAGCACGGACTGGCTGCCGTCTGAAGAATATGAACGGATGAATTCCAAAAGCTGAAACTGGTGAACTGTGAAACAAAAGAACTTAACCACCCGAGGAAAGAACTCAGCCTTCACCCAACCGAGAAACTCCCCGAATACTGGCAGTGCAGTGCAGACCGAATTTTGGGTTGACAGCGAGGTGAACTGTGGAAGCCAATCTGACTCTTCTGAAACTACTGGTTGACAGACCTACACACATTTATCTCACATCTCACAAGCTCCATTTGAACTAACTGGCCTTTATTCAACATCTAGTTCGCCACTTTTATGGCATACACCAGCTCCTGAAATGAAGAGCAAAACACTTAGAAGAAATGTAAACAAGGTTAATCAAATAATCAAAGTGTTTGATCTCACCAGAACCCCATTAGGAAATGTGAACGAGGAGCGCAAGTCTGAAAGGCATTCCTCCCCTGCGAGCCTTGCTTTGTCAAGACCAGATGGATTAGTGCTGACAGGATTGCTATAAGAAGGCTTCAGCACATACATCTCAACTTCTTCATCTTTGTGAGATGTCTGACTGGCGACAAACTACACACAGACATCCGTCTGTAAGTTCTGATTTCTGACAATGGACACTAGTGTTTCAATAAGTACTAACCTGACAAAGTTGTTTGATGGAGAGAGTTGGGCCGCAACACAGATATGACTTCTCCAGATTTGGTGCCGTTTGTCCATCAAGTGGAAGCAGACAAAGATGCACATCACGCTGTCAAATAAAGTCAGTAACTAATGCAAGGCAACACTGAAATGAATAAGGAAACATATCACGAGCATTTTTATGCTCACCTCGCCGTCATTGTCGTCAGAATTTCGCAAGCACTCAACCAACTTGATCATGCGCCCACCCTTGACCATCCTACCATTTGAACCACTGAAGCTACTGTGGCGAGTCTGACTGCGAGTGCCATTCTTTCCCCATGCTCGTAGAGGAGATGTGCTAAAATTTTCCCTGGATATTCCCACATCATCCTTTTCATCAGAAGCAAGCTCGTCATTGCATGCTCCTCGGGCAGGTGAAGAACGTGGTGTTGGCCATTTTGGCAGTCGTTTCTGCTTTTTCTCTGGGGAACTCTCCTCAGCAGATGAGGCCTCTTTGCTACCATTTTCACCGTTTCCATCCTCTTCATCTTCAGAACAGGCCAGAGCAACATCATCGGAACTGGCTCTTCCTCGGCCACGGAAATAGGTATTCTGCCCATTAGGCCGAATGTTACGGCGTGATCTTCTTACGAATGCAGCAGCAGTAGCTTTGGTGGTAGACTTCCGCCCAATAACTTCTGATTGTTTCCGAAAAGCCTCAGCAATGGATGCTTGAATCTTCACATGTAAATTAATCAGGAAAATGAACTTGAGTTCAATGTAAAAATAAACAAAGCGAGGAAACAAAATGGCAGATGCACACAAATATGTCAATCATTAGTTCGGGTCATATAGGTGTCAGACTTGAATACAAGAGCATTTGCATATGCACAGACATCAAAGCAATGTTCCCGGGTTCTTGAAGAAAAAGGCTTCTAATATTCTTATCTGCACTTCGTAGCAAGGGTAGGACATAGTTGGCAGTTTCATGACTCCACTATTCATGTAGTTAACATAAGTTTCCATCCATTGGAACGAAGAGCGGGCTTTACAGTTTACAGTTACAGATAATATAATGAAGTTCTGCCACTAACAAAGTTAACATGAAAATAATTAATTGTTCTATTTCATTTTTGTTCCTTTATGAAGTTCTCTTTATTTTCGAAGAACTTTATGAAGTTCTCAGTCATTAACTTATTATTATCCTTCTGCAAGAAGTGCAGTTGGACCAAACAACCTGCTCAATGCTAAGATGTCAACTTAGTCTTAGTGATTCCAGGAAAATAGGGCACCTGTCTATTGATGCTTGGACACATTAAAACATTTTCTTTTGAAAGGAGCAAAAAAGGGGTAGCAGAGTTGACCAAATTTGATTCCTTAGAAATGAAATTTAGCTGGGATTTTTCCTACTACCCATCGAGGAAATGCTAATGTAGGGAGGGTCCACATGGGACAAAACTATCCTACAAGAAGTAGCAGGGAATCATATCACACCATTTTTGTAACACACAGGTTCAGAGATCTAAGTCAAAATTGATGGGGAATATTTGATGCGGAACACCACAGCAGATGCACATGAAAGTGGATATAAAACTGATATCAGCAAAACAGAAATAGAAAAGAACCTGCTTGTTGCGGTCATTCTCCTCTTCGTTGAACGCTAGCTCCTGGACATGGGACAATGCATAAACATTTACTAGGATCAATCTCTTAATATGTATAAACAAATACCAAGTACAATACCTCTTCTTCATATTTGTCAATGTCTGGATATAGAGCTGCAATCAAGGCATCATAGTTCGGATCATCTCTCAGAGAACGCCGACTCGCACAGTGTGTGCGGCATGCTGGGCACTCGTTGTTCCTTTATAGCAAAGGGATATGTTAGTAACAATACTGTGCTACTCAACATGGGCTGGCATACTGCAGGGATGCATGTTACAATATACAAAAGAAGAGAACTGTAAGTCTTGACTCAGAAGCCAAAACAACACAACAGCAATGCAATATAATAGTCATGTATTACCCAAGTCGCATGGATTTGTCAATGCATTCCCTACAGAACCGGTGCAGGCACTCCATAACTGTTCTAGTCTTCCGGATGATGCCTAGCAGCATAAGATGGTTCCACAATCAGTAAATTAAAGTTGATATTCAGTTATGCGACATGTTAACAGAGTTTTTGTATGACAACAAGAATGAAATTGACAAGGAGTTATATCTGCAAGCAACATCTTTCTGTTAAAAAACATATTGGCTAAAAAAAGCTACAAAATTAAAAATGGAAAACCGAAAGCTTCACAGAAACCATTATTTACTGCCGGAATGAAGAAAGTTAGTTTTAACTTTTAGTTAAGCATGACTAAAATATGTACCATCCATTGGCTCTAGCTCCTAATAAATGGCATGTCCAAGAAAATTCTTATCTTTCTGGCAAGGATTCTCTCCAACTGAATGTATAGGTGGGTTTCAAAATACTGAAATGTCACATTGTGTGTATGCAATGTACAGTATATGAATAATCTAGCCATATAGAAATGGCAGCTTCTTTTGTGCAATACCAAAGTTTACAGGTTTGTCTGCATTTGTGTAGGTACCTAAGCATATGGGACACTGCACTTCTTTGCGTACATCCGGCAATTTTACTGGTACAAACCTGCAGGTGTCAGCGGAAGTGTCAAAACTCTTTACAATGGGTAGGAAAGCAAGAGAAAATGAACATCATGTAATAAAATTATAAGAATTATAAAAACTTGAGGTGAAGCACTAGATTACTCTAGTATAGTAGTATAGATCATGCATGCTACACAAGGTGGTGCTAAAGGTGTAATCTGAGAAATAGTCAGAGCTTACAAAGGAGCTGTATGTCCAGGACTAAAAAAACTCGACCTGCAGGGGGTAAGACAGCTCCCATGCATCGCATTAAGAAGACCTTCTCACGTAGGTCAAGAAAACCCCCGAACCCCTCCCCCACCCATACACAACGGCATTGTAGCCCATGTGAGAACGACCATGGCCGTGCCACAACTTAGACCTGTGCTTTGGTGTGAGACAGGCGAGGCGACTTTTTTAACCCCAGCCTTAAAACTCGCTCCCACGGGGAGTCGAACCCGGGACCTGAGGAGTGCTACTCAAGCCACCTAACCAACTCAGCTAGAGGCCCTTTCGATGTATGTTCAGGACTAATAATGTATCCTGACACACTGCATGTGCCTTTCATTTCATTTCAGTTCATGCATGTAAAAATGACTGAGGCAAACAAATAGTTTATCAACTTGCTAGAAATTATGAGAAGCTAATATCCTAGGCTAACACATTGTAAAATCTGTCGTATGAAGTCCAGAGGCAAACAACATTGCTCAAGCTCAGCCCCAATTACATGTAAAATCAAAAAGCTAACCTTGTTTTCATTTCTCTGTGAATGAATGATCCATCTAAATCCTAGGTAGGCAGCTTGCACTATGATATTGCTGACAAGAAAAATCAGACCTAGGCCATGTAACCTGGGATTATCCTGGCTGCACAATGACCATCCAATGCTAAGTTGAAGATGAATGTTACAACTAATAAGCAAACTTGGCTTTCATTTGCTTTTGTTCTCTGCATTTGGTTGTGTGACATCAAAATAAGGCAAGAGCCAGACACATATACCATAACAGAGATGCATAGAGCAATACTCATCACTCTAAGAGAGAAACGAGAGTACAAAATAAAAGGCTAATGTTCGCTCAATTCATCACTATCTTTTGCCAGAATAAATAACACCTAAGTTACAGAAGTTTATTGATATATCTTTTCACTAGGCAGAAATAGCCATGTGATCTTATTCTATTATTATAATAAATCTGTGTACCAAATCTATATGCATATCAGCAGCTACAGTGCATCAGTATGCATATCAGCAATTAGACTAAAGCTGTATGCATCTAAACACACTTTAGTTCAAAGCTCTAATTAATTAGGGGTGGTGGGTTCTACTAGTATGCCAAAAGCTTCAACCTACCAATTCTGAATAGGCTTCCAAGTTCATAATGTATGTTTCAATTAATAGGTGGATGGAGCTCAGATATTACAACTAGCATAGCATCCTTAATTATTAAGCAGTAAATAAATGGATGATGCAGTCCACATTGAAAGCTACACTCCATGTTCAGTTTCACAGTAGCGATGAAACAAAGGACATTATGATGTGTGAGCTGAAACTTATTGCTGGAGAGAGACAGGATCAACAGGTTTTCTTAAATAAGGAACATGATCAATATCAAACCACCAATTAAGCCACTTCATTTCTACTTGTATATGAATGGAAAGATCTGCAGTGTCATCCCTAACCCGCACTGGTCTGTAGGATTGAAAACTTTAGCACTCTTCACGACTGCCTCAAACTTCATACCCCCTTAGGTAACCTGGCTCTATTAATAATAAGATATAAGAATTATGAATCACATGATGACTACAGCTAGCGCTGGCATCTGCACAACTTGTGTTGCTTGGGTACCAACGGAAATCACAAAGATACTCCTTCTAACAGGTAGAAAATAGGGCAAACCACGCAACATCCATGGCTCGGCGCCTCCCTTCCCGCAAACAGCCCCTCAGAAATCCGCAGCCAGCCATAGCCAACTAAGAAAAGACCGACGGGCTCGGCTCAGGCACGAGAGCTGAGGAAAGGGCCAACGACAGGGAGCGAACACGCGCGCGAGTGGCCGCTTAGCGGTGCCGCATCTGGAGCACGCATCAGGAACGAAAACACGACGACGGGGAAAGGAGAACGGCAAAACAAGCAACGGGACGGTTGGCGAGCGTCCGAGCACGTACTCCTGTTTTGCGGCGTCCGCGTCCTCCGACTCAGACTCCGACGACTCCGCCGCAGCCGCCGCCGCCGCCGCCTTCGCGCCGGAATCTGCGAGCAAAGCCAAACAACGTGGGCGGAAGAGGAAATAAACCAGCATCAGCGCGTGGAGATCGAGGAGAAGAGCGCCGTCGACGTGGGAGGGGCGGAAGGGCGAACGAACGAACGAGCGCTCACCGTTGGCGTTGCCGTTGGCTTCGGCGCCGGCGCCGGCGCTGCCGTTCTCCTCCAGCTTGGGCTTCTTCTCCGCGGGCTCGGCCGTCGGCGGCGGCGGCGGAGACGCGGGAGGGGGCGAGCCGGCGCCCGGGGCCGCGGAGGGGGAGGGCGAGGGTGGCGGGGGCGGGCGCTTCTGGGCGGGCATTTGGGCTGCGGCGGCAGGCAGCGTTGAGCGGGTCGCGTGGAGAGGCGGCGAGGTGGGGCGGGGGCGGGCGTTGCTACGCTGGGGCGGGGCTGGCACGGGGATCTCCCGTCTCCGGGGCTGGCTTTTCTACGGCTCCTGGCTTCGGAGTGGGTGCAGCCGGTTTGGGTTGGTAGCGAGTTCGTGTCGCGCTCGCTCCCGGTCGGCGCTCTTGTATCGCGCGTACGCGTCGTGTCCGGGGGGAGGAGCGGGGGATGCGGGTGCCCGCTGCGGCGCTTGCCCAAACAAGGCGGCGCTCTTGTTTGTCTCGTGCCCGGGCAGGGCTGCCGGCCGAGCTCCGCGGCCGGGATGTCAACGAGCTCCAGGCCGTCGATTTGGGTCAGCGAGACGCTGTTCGCTCTTCCAGGTCCGAGTCCCGACGGCCACAAGTAAATGCGTGATTTTTGGAAGTTATATAAGGAAGTACGCACGGCTAGTTGTTAAATTTCCATGATTATTATATATAGATTATAGATTCATTTATGGGAAGAGAAACCCTGTTATTACCAAGGTAAAAAAAATGAAAAAGCCATCTGTTGCTCGAGTGATTCTCTCCCTCGCTTGATTTCCTGGGCGTTAGATCCATTGGTCATTCTGATCTCGTGTGTCTACGAGGTAGTGTGGTCGTGCGTTGCTACGGAATAACTAAATCTTTTATACTAAAAACATACGGATCGTACTATAAAATAACAATACTGCTAAGATAATATTTTATATCGGCAGAATAAATTCTACGATATCCATTTCTTTCATGCGCCAATAAATCCATGAATAAGTTCCACTGTATCTCCATATAATCATGTATACACAGGTTCAAGTATATATGTAAATAGGTTCGTGCCCGTACGTTGCTATGGGACAGCTAAACTTTTGTACTAAAAATATACGGATCGCACGATAAGATAATAACACTGTAAAAGTATATGACCGACGTTAAAGTGGCATTTAATTCAAAAAGCTAAGTTCGTAAAATTTACACGGTCATAGAGAGCATGGCATCGCAGGCTCACAAACTCTACTGTGTAGATCTTTCCGTGATGCGGCTAAGATCATTTTTTATACCGGTAGAAAGAGATTTCCGATATCCATTTTTTTCGTGCGTCAATAAATCCACGAATAAGTTCCACCATATCTTCATATCATCCTGTACACGGCGCTGGCAAGCGAATTAGCCACAACTTATATAATTAGTTTTATAATTAGCTCATGTTTAGTCCTCCTAATTGATATCTAAAAATTCAATGTGATAGGGACTAAAGTTTAGTCTAGGATGCAAAGACCCCATAACTCTCGACTCCTACTGGCTGCTCACTTGCATATGTCTGCACGTATATACTCTAATGCCAGAATGTCTAAGATAGTTTTTAAGGTCGTCATTTGTGTATGTTGTAGTATTGAGATGCTTTGCACTGATCCATGAGGGTGTCCATGAGAGTCGAAATTTTTGATACCATTATGATGTCTAAACTTACCAATCAGACAGAGACAATCTTAATTGTTAAAATATTTTCAACACTGCTTTCATATACTCCCTCTGTCCCAAAATAGAATTCATTCTCGCTTCCCGAAAAGTCAACTTTTTTTTGAACTTCGACCAATTATAATACATGTATTTTTTATATGCATGTGGCCTCAGGAGTCGACCAATTGATTGTTAAATGTTGCACGTATTTTTTACAAACCTAATTAAAATTGAGAAAGTTTGACCTGCCCAAATCCCATAACGACTTATATTTTGGGGCAAATGAGGTATATGCTAACGGGAGTAGTCAACTAGAAGTCGTGATGAACACAACAATACTTTCATATTATATGCTAATTGGAGCACGAAGAAACGCAAAGGAATGGACCTATATACGAATGGTGGAAATATTCGTTTAGAAAATTGCAGAAGATTCATCAGTCTTACCATGTATAACCTGCACATATTTTATTTGGCACCACTGATGTTCTCAAGGAGCAACCACTTTTTAATTTCAGGTCTGCATGCTGGAAATACTAAAATTAAGGGTCAACCTCATTGAGTCGTCTTGCTTGATCTTTGCCAATTGTTTTCTTCTATGCATGATTATTGTTTCCTTCCATGCAAGTGACCTCAGGTGATCGATTTGTTTCCTTTAAAATAGGCGGGGATCGCAGGGATGATAGTTTCTTTTTCTATCGCGTGGGGTATCGCATGGCCGGAAGGGAGGAGTCTTGCTTGATCTTTGTCAATTGTTTCCTTCCATGCATGATTATTGTTTCTTTACATACATATGGCCTCAGGTGATCGATTTGTTTCCATCAAAACAGACGGGGATCGTAGGGATGGCAGTTTCTTTTTCTATCGCGCGGAGTATCACATGGCCGGAAGGGAGGAGCGACCCCAAAATAAGTGGCACCAAAAAATAGTCTTACTTTTAATCTTTTTAGTTGTAGGAGATTCCTCGTCGCGTCACCAACAATGCCTGCGCCTGCACGTGACTGTAGTCCAGCACCGCGCCCTGGTCCGACACGCTCTTGTAAGTGCAATCAAGCCTATTGTGGGTTTTGGCATTGATGACCACCAAATTAGAGGACTAATAAGATTTATCGAGATGACAAGCAGGGAATCAAAGAATGAGGATGATGTACAGGTTGTAGGTGTCCTAATTACAAATGGTGGCCAGACCTAGCTCAAAGGAAGCTTAAATTCTTTTATGTTTTGAAATTGAGTTTAGGGAAAGCCGTACTATTAAGAGAGATTTTAAGATAGTTGGTCAACTGTTTAACCAGATGCTCAAATTCATATATCTACATCCTTCCACCTAGTCAAAACAGCCAGCCAAATTTTATATCATCTTATCTGTTTTGGCAAGGGCGACAGTGCCGCCCTGTTAAGAGCGGCAGTGCCGCCCTTAACTGACAGTTGGGCTCGGGGGATATTTATACCCTTCAGGCCTGGCCCACAACGTTCATCTTCTCCACTGAGTCATTCTGCTCGAAACAAAATAGAACCAAAGCTTACCTCTCTCCTCCATTGTTGCTCTTTCATCCCTCAAGCTAATTTTTGATTCCAACCATCAAAACTTAAGTGAAAAGACAGCAAAACTCGATTATAGGGAAGATCCACTGATTTCCAAAGTTTAAGAGCATTTGGTTCACGTTTGGCCAGCAGTTCTAGGGTTTGTTACTCTTGGAGCTTGCTTCTAGCCGGCTAGGCGTCGCCTTTGTGCTTGCCAACTTGTGTGGCAGCCTTGGGAGGTTTGTAACCTCATTCAAAAGCTAAGAAATCACCCCTCACTTGAAGAGTTTACTCTCTTGATTCGAGAACAAGGGTAAGGCAAGCCTTGGTGGCAAGGTCAAGGCTTTTGTGGCTTCCTCAACAACGTAGACTTAGACAAACCTTAGTGGTGGGCTGAACCACGGGATAAATCTTGTGTCTCGCGTGCTTCATCTTACTATACTTGCTGTTTACCTTATTACTAGCTGTTATTAGGGTTTAGTTGCTCGATTCACTGTTGTGTGAAGTTTCTGTGGTATCCAGTCTTTGAATTGGATCTTGGCTTTGTATTGCAGAATTCAGCATCTATTGGGGTCAGATTCATATCTGTTAAATCTCAGCCGTGTTAAATTATTTTTCGTAGAGCGGCAGTGCCGTCCCATAAGGCCGGCAGTGCCACCCTCTGTTATAACAGAGTTTTGAGTTGAATTTTTACAGGCCTATTCACCCTCTTCTAGGCATCCTTTATCTTACTATAGATCCTACAAGTGGTATCGGAGCGAGGTTGCTTCGTATACGCTTCACCGCGTGAAGTATGGAAGAAGGAGAAGGTTCGAAGAACGTTCGCGTTGCGGACACAAGTGGTGTGCACGTTGAGGATGTCGGGAGCAGCAGCGAGCTGTCCATGCCCACAGCAAGTGATGCCACCATCAAAGAACCCAAGACCACCGATGCTGAAAGAAGAAAGGCAAGAAAATAAAGAAAAGCCGCAAAGATTATAACAAGAGAAGCTAGAGAAAAAAAGAAGGAAGAGCAGCGGCTCAAAGACAAGAAGAAGAGAAAAGAAGCTAGAAGAATCACAAGAGAGGCAAGAGCTAAGAGAAGGGCAGTAAGAGCTCAAGAGCAAGAGAAGAATGAGTATGATGCATCATCTAGTGAGCTCTCTAGTAGCTCGGACGATGGAGATGATGATGTGTCATACCATGCTTCAAAAGATGGCAAGGAGATGAAGAGCAAGGACAAAAAGAAGGATAGCAAGGATAAGGGCAGCAACAACAAGAACAAATATGCCGCTGTATCCTTTAATTATTCTTATTTGTTTAACCATAACAAAAGGTCCTTTGTCAATGTACCCGCGGGCAAGTTGCCTTATTCTGATGGGACAAACTTTGTCAAGTGAAAGCACTTGATGAGTGCCTATCTTGTAGGTCTTCACCCCGGTCTTTGGGAGATTGTGGTGAATGGATTGCAGCCACCGGAAGATCCCGAAGCGTCAACAAATGAAGAGCTATTTGCTGTCCATCTCAATGGCCAAGCCACAAGTATTTTTCTTAGTGCATTGGATGGAAATAAGTACAACCGAGTGATGGATGTTAATGTTGCAAAACAGATTTGGGACACTTTGCATCTAGCACATGAAGGTGTTGATAAAGTGAGGAAAGCAAATATTGATTTATTGATGGCCAAGCTAAATAGGTTCGTGATTGTTGATGGAGAGGGGCCACAAGAGATGTTTGATAGATTGATGACCTTGGTGGGCAAGATTAGAGGCTATGGATATGATGAGCTTGATGATCACAAAGTGGTGAAGGTTATGTTGGAAGCATACTCAACAAGAAATGAGACCGTAGTTACCTTAATTAGAGATAAGAAGTTTGAGCACTTCACACCTTAATGATGTGCTTGAAAGATTGTTGACATTTGACATGCAAAGAGAAGAGGCAAATAAGAGAAGAAGACTTTGTGAGTTGCAAGCCAAGCTAGAAGGCTTGAAAATCAATGA